ACCGGAATTCCAATGGAAATGAAGAGCAAGTTCCCTGCTGGAGGGGAACTTGTGATGAACCACACCACATTACCATGAAGAGATTCAAGCCTTATGAGTGATCGGGCACCGTATTGAAGGAACGGTCTATGAGGACCTATGAAACTGTAAGCGACTGCGTGAGAAAGGTACTGTGGTTCCTAATTGACCACCCTGTATCATTTCCGTGAAGGAAAGTTGCGAGAAAGGCGCTTCCTCCAAAAACAGCTCTTTTTTTTCAAGTGACTCCGCCTCCAGACTCCTCCTTAAAAATACGCGATCCAACAAAAAGTGGTACTCACGGACGAGCAGCATGAACTGGAAGCTCAGTTGGTGCTTGCGAGGTCGTAGAGCTCCTTATAAGGCATCAGCTGAGCGGACTCGTCCCAGCACGCGGTCTTTTCACATTGTAGTCGTGCATGCTCTTGTTGCTAGAGGGATTCTATTAGAGGTGTTGTCAGCGTTCTCTCCATATTATTCACTTCCATATTTCAGCACCACTGCCACTACCTGTGCTTCATATAGCGGACCGTACCTTTGAAGACAATTCCCGCAATCAAGTGTTACGGGTAGCAGGCGCTCAATCATGAACCAGTACCCATAAGTAACTCCCCAGTAGAGAAAGAAGCGAAAAAAAGATCGAGAACACCCTAAACAGAGACCCCCTGCAGTGGAGCCGGCGCCTTGGACGAGTTTGTCGGATGTCAGACAAGCCCAATCAGCAGGATTCACAAAACAGCCAGTTGCCGGCAACATAGGAAATCGTCCTACGACGCTCCAGTCAACACTATGTAATTACATTTTGCTAGGCCGTTGTCTTACAGAGCTACATACGGTTACACCAGTTGCAAATAGTACGCGTCTTACGCCTTATATATCTTCTCATTGGTTCAAGACAAAGTGTAATTCTCTGCGTAGTGTGGACAACATGTAAATGCACGGTGTCTTTAAGTAAAGTAATATGTAATGGCGCTCGTAAGCGATGCTGTCATGAAGGGGCAGATAGAACAGTGCAGACTTGCGCCTCAACATAGGAACCAATGGAACGAGGGTTTTGCAGTTAAGAGGGCCTGAAAATCCCCCTTCTCTACTTCATAAAACGGAGGGCATCATTATTGTTGATAGCAACTGCAGACATTAGCGCCTGTTCGAGAACCTCGATGATCAACGAGAAGACAGGTGAAGGTGATGGAAAGAGCCCGTTTCAGCGCTGCCTCTTTAGAGTGTGCCCTCTCAAGTGCGTTTCCGAATTGGCATTAGAAGTCGGTGGCACTGGACTTTCGCTTTTCTTACCGGTGGAAAAGAGTTGGCTCGACATGGCAACGCGCTGAATCGTAACGCGGCTGATGTGTAAGAATAACGATTTTTGACAAACGCTTAACGATGACGATTAGTTGTAATGTGATCTTCGAATCTTTAATAGATTGAAGAAATTTTTTTAAACTAAAAAACCTCAAGCGTCTCTGTTCTGTTTAAAATAGGCAGAAAAGAGTTGAGACGTGTCGATTGAGTCTAAAAGTAATTAAACGCTTATGGTCAACAGCGCTTGCGAGGGGATTCGAATAATATGATGGCAGATGTAGAATAAAATGAAAGAAAAAAAATGGAAGAAACTAAGGTAAATTGAAAAAAATAAAAAACTGTGGTTTCAAAAAATAGCCACCGAATCTGAATAGTGTTTGCATCGGAATTTTCGAAAAGCCCCTTGGGTATCGGTTCCGTACGTTGGTTTCCAATGAAACGCTATATTATGGCTTCTTGAAGTAATTCTGCCAGTAATTAAGTAATTCTGCTTCCTAATGTCATCTACGATTTGCCATTCAGTTGGCTTGACGCAGCCGCAACTCATTCGTTTCCAGCTCTCTCTCATCGTCGTCTCACCCTTATTTTCCATCTGCGATTCCGTTGCTATGGAGTGCTCTACCAACGCCCGCTTACATCTGACCTCGACGTTCCGCCGTTTCACTCTACTGCTATTGTTCTATTACACCTTCTCACAAACCCATACGAGTCTTCAAATACTTCTCCACAATGTACTCCGGTTTTATTGCCTTTTGATCTGATTTTCTCATTGCCGCTCATCGCCTGCCATAATATTCTGTCGTAATCTGGCCGGAATTGATAAATAAATAATCTCAAAGCTCCATATGGCAATTTAACATTATTTCCGCTTTTTAGCCGCTGTTCGGCTTCGGAGGAGCATTTTCAACTCCAACTAATTTCTGTGGATAAAGTCTCACCTTGCTGAGATTTGTAGACTCTTGTCAGGTGTACACGAAGTCCGTCCTATTGCACAGCTTCACGCGAATTTACAGGCTTCCATAGGAGGCATCGGCAGTGGTCGCTGGAAACTAGCAAAATATCCCCACTAAACCAAACTGCGACATTTTGTAGAATGTTTCATGAGTAGCGCTCGGCAAGAGCGCTATCATGAGTGATCCATCGACTTCGTGCAGGTCGATAACGCTAAATTGGGGAGTAATATGGAAAGAAGAGCATTCTGGTGCAGTGCTTACAAAAAAACCCAACATTTGCGCGAATTTGGTTCACCTGGTCTGGAGCTTCTTGCCCAGGCTTAGCCAACAATCCCCACCCCTTGGCGCCCATTGCCACAGTTCAGGATGCTTTGGGTATTCAGCATCCATTATACCTATTTCTTAGGAGTGTGTTCGGACCCAGGGTACATAGATATTACTAAAAACCTACCGACCGAGCCAAAAAATTAACATTTTCGAATTTTCAAATGGTTGTGACCCTCATCTGAGTGATTTAGACCCCCTTCCTAGAGCCCGAGAACACTTAGTCCTCTTACAAGTCTTTTGGAAAGTTTCCTGCAAATTATAGAATTCAGGTACCGTATCGAAGTTTAGTAGCCTCAGCTCCAGGCGCAAAAAGGAAGGAAAGGCAGAGGTTCGCTAAGTATAGAAGTGCTTCAGAAACAAGTATCCTTGAGATCCATATTGCTGTTCACTGAGGGATACTAACAACCTTCTCGACAATCACCTCACAGAATTGCCATCAGTGGCGGGGAGGGGGGCATGTGGCAGCCTAGCTGGGGCCAGGCATTTTGCACGTAACCAACACTATTTTCTCCTGTATTTTATTGTAGCCCGCTTTCGACAGAACGTTCAAACCATGGCTCTTTATGCAAACCTTCTTCTTTCAGAAAATGGTCCTACGACCTTCGAGTTCAAGTTGGAGTGTAGCGCCGGAAACAATAATGAGCCACCACTACAAGCTGAATCGTGGAGTGAAAGGCGTTGTCGACACGAGTCCACCGTTCTCCATGTATAACAGTCCAATCAGTGAGTTGGTTATTTGGTCATTGAAAGATATTTTATTGCGGCCACAGGTAGGAATGGTCATTCAAGAGAGCCCATCTAGACGGTTTTCGCGCTTAGCCCAGGTCTCTTTCCGAGCTTGAAAGAGTTACTCGAATTGAGTGCACCTTCTTGCAGGTGATCTAGAAAGTGAAATCATCACACTAACCTTGTAATGAATCAGAATAACTCGATGTGCGTGACAGCAGGCTTTGATAATACCCCAGGATACTACTGGAGAGAGGGGAAGGTGTAGCGTTTTACAATTTATATCAAGCCTATTCAGTGACATTAGCATAATACATTTTTGAATTTATGATACAATCAAGAAAACACAAAAATGACTGAGAAAAGACGAATTCAAAACCAATTTAAAGTGTGACCACCTAGCAAAAAGCTGCACTGGCCTCTAATCTGTCTTTTCGGAAGATGGATTGGTGATTTTGTTAGGAAAAAAATCGAAACACTATCTGAATTGAACTTGTTCCAGGTGTGCATTACATTCCCAAAAGGGCATCATCGGCCGACGCTGCTAAGCGACGACAACCGAAGGTACTTCTGAAAGCCATTTGAACAGCTTTGTTATTAACTTTTTTCGCTACAATTGGAAGCTTTATCAATGGATTCGAAATAACACTTCGCGGTAGGCGAATGGGCGGAGATAGAGAAGCGTTGTGTCTCCCACAATACAGCGCCCCTGCTTCCTAATCATTAGAGAGCACGGTCGTGCTACTAAGTTGGTTCTCAGTCTACCTGTGCGATCATCGTCAAATGAGCGTTCAAAACTTTTTTCAGTAGGAAATGGGAAATATGCTACACACTGAGGCGGGGCATTTCAACGGGGGTACTATTTGTGAGCGTATTGTTTCTATGAGAAACGTATTTGATCGCTGTGGGGGAGAGGAAGGTAAGGGGGTTCTGTTTAGGCATAGACTTCTATCGGCCCTACTCCTGACCCTGAAGCCACTAGTCCTCAATTGACTTTGTCGGCAAAGCTAAAGTAGTGAGTGTGGGCTAGAAGGGACACAAGATCCTCAAACTTGACCTAAAGGGTTGAGTGGAGTGTATGGAGCGGAGCGATAGAGAATGTATGAGAGAGCGATACGATAGAGAACGTAAATGAATAAAAATACTACAGTAATTCTCTCATTTCTGCAGACAGCGACTCAAAATGCATGATGTCCAGATGAAAATTCCTGATGCTTCCAATTTCTTACGTCGCTGAAAAGGAATAGTGAATCAGAACGTACGAAAACGTGGCTATCCAGTTGGAAATTATTTTCGGGGTGGCATTAAACTGACCTTTATAAACTGGACCCTGGTGAGAAGATAAGAGCTATTTATTCCACTAGCCCGCTTACCACTGACGTTCGTCTTGGGGAATTATCCACGCTTTTCATATAGGCGGAGCCGGCTCTATGCTTCCAAAGCATTGAAGGGTACGCGAGAACGCTCGGTGAACCAGGGATGGGCTTCTTTGAGGGGGGACCCCGTGCGAGGGGGAGTCTGAGCCGTTTATCACATAAGTTGGAATGTGCAGTGCCTTCGAAGAGAGCGTAGTGTAGACCAGAAAACTGAAAGACATGCGGCAACTCTGGTCGTCTGCGCTCAGCCTAGGCCTTGGTCAGGGGAACAAACGCAGAAATAATGGTAACCATACTAACAATTTTAGTTATGTTGATGCTTATTCAAATAATCAATGGATTTACTGTTCAGCTGACTCGTCCACATCGTGAATTGGCTGAGTACGTGGGAGCTTCACAAGGACGAATGCCGCCAGCTTTGCGTCTCCCTCTCAATGGCATCGACGTCAAACCCAAACTGTTGCAGTCAAAGGACTACCAACCTCCCCTGCACAGAAAGGTCAGTGCAGAGCAACTGATTTTTTTCATCTTTTTTCCGACTAGACCGGCGTCATTTCAGAAACTTCGACCACCTGTTCCACCTTCTAAAACCAGTTCTTGGAAAGATGTGGATAAGCGACATGAAGCTCATCGGCCGCAATCGAAGGACAGCTTCCATTTTGACCTCTTCAAAGATTGTGTTTATTCCTACATCATTGATCGGGAGGTGTTCACTGATGGGTAAGTGATCAGAACGTTTTGAAGAATTTTCCTTCCCACTTGAAGGGACAGTCTACGTTGGGAAATTGGGCGGGGTCAGTCTCAATGAACGCCTTCCTTAGTGTGTTCTTCCTCCTGCTTGACGTTTCGGAATGGGTTCTAGGAGGGCCAATAAGGAAGTCACTGCAACAGACTGACTCCGCCCATTCAATCAGTCTGGACTGCGCCTTCAAATAATTGTGTTCAGAGTAATCAGCGAAGCGGTGGATGTAGCTATGGAGCAGTGGAGCGAGCAACTTTCTTGGGTAGGTTCCG